ATTTGAAACCCACCACTGTGCCAGTGCCTCACCAGCCATAAACCTCACCGCACGTCACTGCTAACCAACAAAAACCTGTGCAGACCTATCTTCTCAATATGCCACTTTTTTTTTTTTTTAAGGAATCTGCCAAACTTTATTTTCATAACAAAAATAGTTTTCAGATAAAATGTTTAAAAGGCCTACACGCTGATTTGAGAACTTCCTGGTCACCTCTGAACTATGGAGGCATCGACTTGGAATGGTACCTGGTGCTCTGGGCAGGCACCGGTACGCCCATACCAGGGCGTGCCGCCTGCAACCCACCACTGGTCCAAACTGTCCTGTTCAGCTTGGGTCCAGGAGTATATCATATCACAGGTATGGCTCAGGTATTGATGGCTTGATGGTATTTCCATCGTTCCCTAGCAGCTTCACATAATGAAAGTCAACGCGGAATCAGGCAGGAAGTGAGAAAACATCCCATGGCTATTCTGTTTCTCTGTTTAGGTAAGAAAATATTTCTGAAACAAGTCATTGGTTGCCTAGTTATGAAATACATACTAAGCATCTTAAAATGTCTGTGCCCGCGAAACATTACCCAAATTCCACAGGGACTGGTTTTTCCATTCTTGTTGCAGAATCCCCAAAATAGTCTCCTTCCATTCACAACTTCTGAAGAAAACTATGTTTTCTTTTTGAATGGACAATTTGAAAAAAAGTAATAGCGTGCCCAATACTTTCCGAGCAGCTTATTTTGCTATTCTCATGAAATGTATACCGCATTTACATATAAATACTGGATTGCTACCATATTTATCAAATTTTTTAAAGTGTGTGTGCTTCAACTTTATTCAAACAATAATATCTGCATTTTACAACATTTATGAAGGGGCTTCAATTGTGATAGATAACAAGGAATTCAAAGTCAAAGAAGAGCCAGGAGGAGTCATATAGTGCTCTGTTCTGTCCCCCCCTTCTCCGCTCGTTAACAGACGACAGGCAGACAAACTTAAAAGGAAAGAACTTTATCAGTCCTCGGCTCAGACTGGCTGCGAGCCCAAAAATAAACATAAATCAAGTCTCTGACCAGAAGATAACAGAATGCAAAACAAAACTCTTACAAAGCAATTCACTTNTTAAAATATATAAAAGAGAACATAGTCCTCACAGAAACATAAAACATTGGCAAAACTAATGGAATATGTATTTCAGTGGAACTTCCCTCTCCTCCTCCTTTTTAAAAAAGAATAATAAAAGTACAATACAAGATAGAAAAAAGGAAAGAAAAAAAGAATCCATCCCCCATTAAGAAAAAACTTTCCACCCTCATCACAAGTATAAACAATTTCATAATTGTCACTTTCCTTAGCTTATAAATATGAAACTCTTCAACCCATAACCTATTTCCTAGCAATAAACAAGTAAAAGAAGTAATTTTGTTCAAACATTGGCAAAAAGTCCACGTAGAGTTCAAATATACTAAAATTAACACATACAAAAATTCACATTTTGATATCTTCATATGAAAAACCCATTGTGTTGTGTAGTGTAGATAGTTTTATAGTAGATTTGTATTTCTAATTTTACAGCACTTCTTCTGCTGATGGTTGGAATCTAGCAAGTGGAGTGTGCTGTTGTTTTCTTCTTCCCTTGTAAATGTTATTTCTTATTTCTGAGACAGGCCCGATGAGGCAGAGGCGAAGGAGACGCAGTTCGAGTGACCCCCCCGGGCAGGGGGGGCCACCCACCACCACCTCCACCTGCACTGCCATGCACCCCCCGCGCAGAAGGCAGGATGGCGCTGAAATGCATCAACAAGGTTGTATAAAGATTTCCTTTCCTGAGCATGCGCGGAGGGGAAATGGCTGCTGAAAACAAGCTGGAAGGCTTTTGCATCACCTTATGAAGAATGTTGCTGCCGGAGGGCTGCGGGGAGACGGAGGCATGCCCGTGGATGCTACCCAGCACCAGGGGCTCTGAGCAAGTGGAATTGGGAAGATTGGGTGCGGCCCGAGGCGGCCGAGCTTCACCGCGCTGTGCATGTCCTCAATCTGGCTTACAAGAAGAATGTCTCGGGGCGCTACACATTCAACCGTTGGGCCAGCTGCAACGAGGTGCCCGCCAGCTACTGCCACCACCCACCGCTGCCCATGATGGCCAGACGGACTGCTTCGCCTTCCATCTGCCTGTGGGCACCGGGACCACGCTGCTCAAGTTCGCCATTCGCTACCACGTGGCCGATACCGAGTATTGGAACACAACTACAAACTGTGCCGCTTTCAGGCCCCCGCAGAGGATGACGAGGAGGAGGATAAGGAGCTCACCCCCCAACTATCACCAGCTGCCCCAGACGCCTCAGAATTCCTGTGCCACTTCCAGGCCCCCGCAGAGGAGGAGAATGAGGAGCTCCCCCCCAACTATCGCCAACTCCAGCCGCCTTGGACTCGCACTGAGCACCTTCCCTGTGGGGCTCGGATGAGGGCCTGGTTTAGGGCCAGGCTGAGGGAAGCAGCAGAGGAGAGCCCCGTGCCGGAGTTGGAGACCCGGAGGACACCGACCCGAGATCTCCCCCAAGTGGTCAATAACACCCCCTCCTTGGAGGTTCTTCTGCTACAGTTAAGTGACTTTTTGGGGACAAGACCGTTGGAACCGCTGAAGCCCCCCTTGAATCACCTCGCCCTTCCTTCTCTGTTTGGAGCATCGGAAGCCTCAGGGCTGCCTCTCAACCCACTTTCTCCCAAGTGCCAGGCTTGGCTGATAACAATGGGGGGACTGGCCAGGCACTCCGGTTGCAGATCTGCCTCCATCTCAGTTCAGCTCCTCTCCTACCTCCCTCCCTCTCCCTCCTCTTCTCCCCTACCCCTTCTTTCCCTTTCAGGACATTCAATTTTTTCTACCATTCTTAAATTATTTTAATTGCCATTGATTTAGGAATAGCATTTTTTTTTAGCTGGTTTGCTGGGTGTATGAGTGTATGAATGTGAGAGAAAATGTGCTCACTTTTAATTTATTTTATTGTATTTTAATAATTATTGTGGGGTGTGTCTGAAGAGAGTGTTTGATTGGTGAGTATGATAGGACTGGGGATGTGACCTGGAGTC